AATTTCTATTTCTAGGACCTTGAGAAATTGCCACACTGTTTTCCACAGTGGTTGAACTAATTTACACTCTACCAACTGTGTAAAAGTGTTCCTATTTCTCCACATCCTCTCCAGCATCTATTGTCTCCAGATTTTTTAATGATCGCCATTCTAACTGGCTTGAGATGGTATCTCAGTGTAGTTTTGATTTGCATTTCTCTAATGACCAGTGATTATGAGCATTTTTTCCTATGTTTGTTGGCCTCATATATATCTTCTTTTGTAAAGTGTCTGTTCATATCCTTTGCCCACTTTTGAATGGGGTTGTTTTTTTCTTGTATATCTGTTTTAGTTCATTGTAGATTCTGGTTATTAGCCTTTTGTCAGATGGGTAGATTGCAAAAATTTTTTCCCATTCTGTTGGTTGCCAATTCGCTCTAATGATGGTTTCTTTTGCTGTACAGAAACTCTGGAGTTTGATTAGGTTCCATTTGTGTATTTTGGCTTTTATTGTCATTGCTTTTGGTGTTTTAGTCATGAAGTCCTTGCCTATGCCTATGTCCTGGATGGTTTTGCCTAGGTTTTCTTCTAGTGTTTTTATGGTGTTATGTTTTATGTTTAAATCTTTAATACATCTGGAGTTAACTTTAGTGTAAGGTGACAAGTAGGGGTCCAGTTTCTGCTTTCTGCACATTGCTAGCCAGTTTTCCCAACACCATTTATTAAACATGGAGTCCTTTCCCCATTGCTTGTTTTTGTCAAGTTTGTCAACGATCAGATGGTTATAGATGTGTGGTGTTTCTTCTGGGGCCTCTATTTTGTTGCACTGATCTGTGTGTCTGTTTAGGTACCAGTACTATGCTGTTTTGATTTCTGTGGCCTTGTAGTATAGTTTGAAGTCTGGCAGCGTGATGCCTCCGGCTTTGTTCTTTTTGCTTAGGATTGTCTTGGCTATTTGGGCTCTCTTGTGATTCCATATGAAGTTTAAAGTGTTTTTTTCCAGTTCTGTGAAGAAGGTCATTGATAGTTTGATGGGGATAGTGTTGAATCTATAGATTACTTTGGGCAGTATAGCCATTTTCACGATATTAATTCTTCCTAACCATGAGCATGGAATGTTTTTCCATCTGTGTCCACTCTTATTTCATTGAGCAGTAGTTTGTAGTTCTCCTTGAAGAGGTTCTTTACATCCTTTGTTAGTTGTATTCCTAGGTGTTTTATTCTCTTTGTAGCAATTGTGACTGGGAATTTGCTCTTGATTTGGCTCTCTCTTTGTCTGTTATTGGCATATAGGAATGCTTGTGATTTCTGCACATTGACTTTGTATCCTGAGACTTTGCTGAAGTTGCTTATCAGTTTGAGAAGATTTTGGGCTGAGTTGATGGGTTCTTCTAGATATACAATCATGTCACCTGCAAATAGAGACAGTTTGACTTCCTCCTTTCCTTATTGAATGTGCTTTATTTCTTTTTCTTGCCTGATTGCTCTGGCCGAACTTCCAATACTATATTGAATAGCAGTGATGAGAGAGGGCATCCTTGTCTAGTGCCTGATTCCAAAGTGAATTCTTCCAGCTTTTGCCCATTCAGTACGATATTGGCTGTAGGTTTGTCATATATAGCTTTTATCATCTTATGATATGTTCCTTCAATACCTAGTTTATTGAGAGTTTTTAGTATGAAGGGCTGTTGAATTTTGTCAAAGGCCTTCTCCTTATCAATTGAGATAATCATGTGGGTTTTGTCTTTTGTTCCGTTTATGCGATGGATTATATTTTTGGATTTGTGTATGTTGAACCAGCCTTGCATCCTCAGGATGTAGCCTACTTGATCGTGATGGATAAGCTTTTTGATGTGCTGTTGCAATCGATTTGTCAGTATTTTATTGAAGATTTTTGTGTTGATGTTCATCATGGATACTGACCTGAAGTTTTCTTTTTTAGTTGAGTCTCTGCCTGTTTTTGGTATCAGGATGATGTTGGTATCATAAAATGAGTTAGGGAGGTTTCCCTCCTTTTGTATTGTTTGATACAGTTTCAGAAGGAATGGAACCAGCTCCGCTTTGTACATCTAGTAGAATGTACTGGTCTGTCTATCTTGTTGATCTTTTCAAAAAACCAGCTCCTGGATTTATAGATTTTTTGGAGGGTTTTTTGTGTCTCTATATCCTTCATTTCAGCTCTGATCTTAGTTATTTCTTGTCTTCTGCTAGCTTTTGAGTTTTTTTGATCTTCCTCCTCTAGCTCTTTCAATTTTGATGATAGGGTGTCAATTTTAGATCTTTCCTTGTTTCTCATGTGGGCATTTATTGCTGTAAATTTCCCTCTTGACACTGCTTTAAAGGTGTCCCAGAGATTCTGGTAAGTTTTGTCTTCATTCTGATTGATTTTGAAGAACATCTTTATTTCTGCCTTCATTTCATTGTTTATCCAGTTGACACTCAGAAGCAAGTTTTTCAGTTTCCAAGTGGTTGTGCAGCTTTGAGTGTGTTTCTTAATCCTGAGTTCTAGTCTGATTGCACTGTGATCTGATAGACTGTTATGATTTCCGTTCTCTTGCATTTGCTGAGGAGTGATTTGCTTCCAATGATGTGGTCAATTTTAGAGTAAGTGCAATGTGGTGCTGAGAAAAATGTATATTCTGTGGATTTGTGGTGGAGCATTCTGTGTATGTCTATTAGGTCCACTTGGTCCAGCTCTGCATTCAAGTCCTGGATATCCTTGTTAATTTTCTGTATTGTTGATCTGTCTAATATTGACAGTGGAGTGTTGAAGTCTCCCACTATTATTGTGTGGGAGTCTAAATCTCGTTTTAAGTCGTTAAGAACTTGCTTTATGTATCTGGGTGCTCCTGTGTTGGGGGCATATGTATTTAGGATAGTTAGCTCTTCCTGTTGGATTGATCCTTTTACTATTAAGTAGTATCCTTCTTTGTCTCTTTTGATCTTTGTTGGTTTGAAGTCCATTTTATCAGAGACTAGGATTGCAACTCCTGCTTTTTTTTTTTTTCTCCATTTGCTTGGTAAGTCTTCCATCCCTTTATTTTGAGTCTATGTGTGTCTTTGTATGTGAGATGGGTTTCCTCAATACAGCACACTGACAGGTTTTGACTTTTTATTCAGTTGCCAGTCTGTGTCTTTTGATTGGGGTGTTTAGGCCATTTACATTCAATATTACTATTGTTATGTGTGGATTTGATCCTGCCATTTTATTACTGGCTGGTTTTGTTTCCCATTAGTTGACTCATTTTCTTCATTGCATTTTTTATCTTTGCCAACTGGTTCCTTACCGTGCTTAGTGTTTCTTTCAGGAGCTCTTGTAGGCCAGGTCTGGTGGCGACAAAATCTCTCAGTAATTGCTTGTCTGTAAAGAATTTTATTTCTCCTTCACTTACGAAGCTTAGTTTGGCTGGATATGAGATTCTGGGTTGAAAGTTCTTTTCTTTAAGGATGTTGAATATTGGCCCTCACTCTCTTCTGGCTTGTAGGGTTTCTGCTGAAAGATCCGCCGTGAATCTGATTGGCTTCCCTCTGTGGGTGACCTGACCTTTCTCTCTGGCTGCCCTTAGCATTTTTTCCTTCATTTCAACCCTTGTGAATCTGACGATTATGTGCCTTGGGGTTGCTCTTCTTGAGAAATATCTTTGTGGAGTTCTCTCTATTTCTTGAATTTGAAATTTGGACTGTCTTGCTGGACTTGGGAGGTTCTCTTGGATAATATCGTGGGGCCTGTTTTCCAGCTTGGATTCATTCTCCCCATCATATTCAGGTACACTGATGAAGCGTAGATTAGGTCTTTTCACATAATCCCATATTTCTTGGAGGCTTTGTTCATTTCTTTTCACTCTTTTTTTCTCTTGTCTTGCCTTCGCTTTTTATTTCATTGAGTTGATCTTCAATCTGTGATATCCTTTCTTCTGCTTGATTGATTCGGCTATTAAAACTTGTGTTTGCTTCACGTAGCTCTCGGGCTGTGTTTTTCAGCTCCATCAAGTTGTTTATGTTCTTCTCTGAGCTGGTTATTCTAGTTAGCATTTCGTCTAACCTTTTTTCAAGGTTTTTGGTTTCTTTGCATTGCATTAGAATGTGTTCCTTTAGCTCAGAAAAGTTTGTTATCATCCACCTTCTGAAGCCTGTTTCTGTCAATTCATTGCACTCCTTCTCGGTCATGTTGTGTTCCCATGCTGTTGAGGAATTGTGACCCCTTGAAGGAGAAGCGGTGTTCTGGTCTTTGATGGTTTTACCTTTTTTGCGCTGGTTTTTTCCCATCTTTGTGGATTTACCTGGCTGTGGTGTCAGGGAGCTGTTGATGAGGTCACTTGTCTGCCTGTGGGGGCTACTGGGTTTCTAAGGACTCCTTCAGGTTACTAGGGAATCTTCCTGTGTCTTTTTCGTTTATGCTGGGAGATTAGGCCCACCTCTTCCGCTGACCTTTAGGCGCTGCTGGGTTGTCAAGAACGCCATCCCGTTGCTATGTAGGCTTCCTGTGTTTTTGCTGAAACCTGCAGCCCAGTCCCACCCCGCTAATGGTGGGTTGTGTCCTTCCTCCACTGGGCTGGATCACTCAGGGTTCAGCTCAGACTGTGGCGCTGGCTGCACAGCCCACTAGAGTCAGAGCTTCAGCACTCTGGGTTTTGTGGGGGAGGGGAGGGGAGGGAAGGGGAGGGAAGGGGAGGGACCCGCCCAGCCGCACCGGGCCTTCTCCCCCTTTCAGCTTCCTCTCTCCCTTGGGGTAGGGGCCCGCCCAGCTGCTCCCATTTACAGCTCCCTCTCTCCAGGCAGGGGCAGGGGCAGTAGCTCAGTCCACAGGCTCTCCTGGCCGCCTTTTGCACTTAGGCATCTGTTTAGGTCTGTGTGCCAATCCAGCACACAGTCCTGGATTATTATTCAACTCCGCACTTGTAACTCCCGGCGCTTGACTGGCAAAGATCCCCTGTTCCGTGTATTGCTGAGGCTCTGGGGGCAGCACTGCACCTGGACCGGAGCCCCAGTCAGATGCACTTTCTGGGCGAGGCAGCACCCCTCCCCGCCTCAGTCTGCCCTGAGTGGGCTTTGCTCACCGTTGGACCAGACCTGTTGAAAGGCACCTGGTACCTTGGCTGGAGCTAGGAGAGCTCTGGGTTTCTGCATCTCTCGCTGGGCGTTGTGAGCCGGAGTTGTGTCTATTCAGCCATCTTGGATCCGCCCAATTTCCACTTAGCAGGTTTCAAAGTTGGAAACATAACTAAAGCTGTCAAAAATACAGAGAGCTTGCGCTGTCATGTTAAGACATATCTTATCCTGCTGGATTTGTACTGGAATCAATGAGAAATTCAAGTAGTGAGGCAGGAGCTATTGACAGCTTGCACTCAGGGAAAGGAAGACAGAAGCAGGCATGGTTAAGAACAGTTCCTCTTGCTGCATCTCTGTAAGTTCACATAAGGTAAAAGACCTATATATACTTCTGGAATTCAAACAGTGTATCAGAAAAGATTCAAGAACAGTTTAAAAATGAAGTCATTGCAACATAGCAGAAGAGGAGTTCTGTATGGGGAGGAGTAGCTGGGCTGCTCTGTAAGTGTTCGTCTGGGTGAATTGTTGGGGAAAACACCTTTCTGTGTAACATGCAATTTATAATGGCCCTTATTTATCATTTTATTCTTTTAACCAGTATTCATTAAGCATCCTGTCTATCCCAGACTCTCTGCTAAGCACAGCCCTACACTGTTGACTGAAGCAGAGGTGGCTGACGTACCTGCCATGGAGGTGTCATCCAGTCTATGCTAATAATATCCCAGTGACTCCCATCTCTAGGGGTCACCAATGAATGTGAAGGTGAGAGCAGTCACAGCAGCGCTGTCCTCCCGAAAAGAATGGGATGTATAGAGGGTTCCTCCTTTCCCAGCACTGAACAGCATGGGAGAAAGGCCGGAGGTTCCCACCTCTCAGGGACATGATGGAAGCTCAGGAGAAAGGAAGAAAAGATCTTCCGCCTCCTTCTCTCTCTCCCCCCAGCCCGATTTCTCTTTTTCTCTTCCCAAAATTAATCCATAAATCATTTTGATTTTAGGCTCTGATGGCTTAGAAAAACTTAGATAAAAGATAAGCAATTTCTTGTGGCCTTTTCCTGGCATAGATAGTCTAAAAAATTTAAAATTCAATGAAAGTATTTTCTTTGAAAGTTAATGTTATTGATAAATATCATCATTCTTCATTGTTGTCATCATTGGTCATTTACTGATATTTAGTGCGTTCCAAGCATACAGAGGTTTGCATGTGTGTCTTGTGAAATTCTCACAACTCTGAGAAGGAGGTGTTAGTATCCCCCTTGTACAGATGAAGGAAAATGGAAGCGAAGGCTGTGTGTGTGATTTGCCAAGGCTCACACCTCTAATGAAAGGAAGAACCCAGATTAGATTAGATCTTCAAAGCTATAAATCATGCACCAGTTGCCCAAATTAACTGCATTCACTGTACCTTACACGCCTCTGATAAAAGTTGAATCCTGTAGGAGGATTCATTGAATTTCTCTTCTTTCCCCTGATTTGCCTCCAAATATAAGTAAAGTCAGAGTTTCTATTAATGGTGCCTTCAGAATATGAAAATGAGGCTAAAGCGTGATGACAACTTAATGTAATTTAAAAATCTATTGTATGTTTAATATAACACTTTTACCTCTAAAATTTATAAAAATAAAGTTTTTAAAAAGAGAAAATAAATGTTTAAAAGTAGATATATGCTAATTTCAGTGTTTTCCAAAGAAAGTCTGTATGGTTTGCTTTGATGAGCAATATGACTTTAGAGATTGATGTCAGTCCTGAGAGAGGAGGTCACATCTGCATACAAACCAGGCGCTGTCATCAGTCACAGAAAGCTGCCATTCATCAAGGTATCTTGCACAAGGAAATGTACACACCTAGAAAGTCAGCACAATACTGGGGGCTGTGCATCAGAGAACAGGTGTATTTCCATGCAGGAGTGACTCAGGTGGACCGATCTCCACCTTTCACAGAACCTGCAACATGTGGTTAACTACAGAACAGCCTTTGGGTGGAGAGAGAGAGATTTGCTGTCACAGAGGCCATTTCCTCATTAGTGAAGGCAATGAACGAAAGACCTGCAGAACCTCTTTCAGCAGGAAACACTGCCTGCAGGTCTTAAGAATGTTAGCATTTCCACTCTTGTATTTTTCTCGTGTGGTTTTAGTGTCTACTAATTACAGCATCCCTGAATTTGAGTCCTCGCTAGGCATTAGCAATTGGCAAAGGGAAGCTGTGCAGGCTTTCTGGAGGGCGTAGATATTCCTCATAGAGCTTGTAGTTCCCCAAGCCCTCTTGGTGTTTCCGTTTGTAAAATCCGTCTTACTCTGGTTTGTATTTTCACACGAAGGATTGTTTCATGGGCTGCTTTTCTGAGCCATGTGTGCTGAGTATTCTCAGAAACAGGAATATTTTGAAATAAATTGTTAAGAATGAAAAAGAATTTCAGCTGGCTAACTTTTTGTTAAGGTATGAGAAAAACAAAATTCACATTTTTATTTATTTTATTTTATTTTTAGACAGAGTCTCACTCTGTCACCCAGGCTGGAGTGGAATGGCCTGGCTAATTTTTGTATTTTTTTTAGTAGAGACAGCATTTCACTATGTTGGCCAGGCTGGTCTCGATCTCCTGACCTCGTGATCTGCCCGCCTCAGCCTCCCAAAGTGCTGGGATTACAGATGTGACCCGCCGCACCCAGCCACAGAATTCGCTTTTAAAATATGATTGTGTTTGTCAAATGCCTGACGCGTACACTATTTAAAGATGATTCATAAACATCGATTTGATTACAGGGTAATAGACTCTGTGTGGTTTTATTGATTCAAAGTTGTGTACAAATTGCTTTTTGACAGTTGCATTAACTTTCTATTTGGGAATTTATTTTGTTTGCCTCCCTGAAACTTGCTCGAGGGTCCCGTAATCACTATTGCGCATACGGTGAGAAGCCAGAGAGAGAGTGACCAATGTCATCTAACTTGACTCCTCAAATCCTCGCACAGTGATGGAGGCATAGCAGGTGTTTAGAAAGTTTAAATGAATGAATGTGGCTTCCTTCCTAATGTTTATGAAATTATTTAGAACAAGAAAAGAGTCCTTGGTTGACACTGGGTCTGTAAAGACACAGCAGTGGGCTCCTTCCCTTCACATCACCTCACCGAAGGTGGATTCTGAAAACTCTCCCAAGGCCCAGTCCCAGGATTCACTGGGCAGCTCTCGTGACCTGCACACTCACTGCAGAAGGTGCCTGAGAAAGCAAAGCAGGAGCCACGTGGTTCCCCCTGAGGTGGGAGCACAGGACCTGTCTCACATGCCAACCTCAGGCACGTGCTGGGCAGGGTTTTCAGACGCTGACAGAAGTTGGGCCTCATTAGACACACAGATATTGTGATCAAACTTCAAACAGGATCAGAGACAAACAGTCTGAATGAAACATAACACTAAAAATGTGGCTGTGGCTGCCAGTTATTTCAGATAAGCCTCCTTTGTCTGGATAGTTGGGATGCCCGTATACGGGAGCTGGGCTCAGAGCTTACAGTCTGCTGGGAGACCCCTTGGGTCAGGCAGTGTTATGTCAGACTGCAAGTGTCTCATCTCCTGAAGAGTTCACGTGTTCTGCAGTTCCCCTGTGCAGGGAACCCAACTTTTCATTAATGTTTATTTGCGGTAGATCTCAAACTGCGAGCTCTAGATAATGGCAATAACATTTTCCTCACTTAAAAGGCAGATAAAGGAGAAGCTGAGAGCATACAATGGCCCAATAAATTTGAAAATGCAGCGTTTTGTTAACAGTGTAAATTACTGTAGTGGTTAGTTGTTATAATTATTTTATTTCTAATTTACTAACTAATATATAACTAACCTAAATATAGTTGATTGAAAGTCTTCCTCAGTAAACAACTAAGAAAGATTTTTCAACTTTTTATTGACTTGAAACTTATAAAACGGTTACATCTTAGGGTAATATTTTATTTGAAGAAAACGTTAATAAATTGACTGACATTTAAATGATTCCTTGAGAAATCCATTCCCCTGGAATTAGAAAAAAAAATTTTCCTTTTGCAGCTGGGGAATTTGCTAAATTTGCAGAGCCAAAAGCAGAAACGAGGCTCAGCGATTTCCAATTCCATGGATCTGTCCATGAGACTTTGCTCCCTGCCTGGAGACTCTGGCAGATACTCCAGTTGTCTACCCAGTAGCAGATTTCCTTTCTTACTAACAGAACCCCAAAGGTGTCAGAAGTGACAAACATGCCCGAGTAACAACTCCATTTTCCAGCATCTATTTTAGCCACCTTGGTCAATGAATGAGACTTCGAGAAATCTTAGCACCTGCCTTATCACTCTGGACCTGTTCCCTCCTCCTCCTTGCTGGAATGTGGGTGTGGGAGCTGAGGGTGCAGCAGCCATCTGGTGGGAGCCAAGTATAAGGGTGTACATCAAGGGTAGCAGAATAAAGATCGCAGGAGGCTGAGACAGGGATAATACAGTGGGCCCTTCAGAAAAGTCTTGATCTGTAGCTACTATTTTCAGTAGAAAAAAATAGACCTTGTATATGTTTAACCTGCAGCTATTCAGGTTCTTCCTACCAACTGAATGAATTTCCTACCTGAAAAAGTGTCCCAATGCAGTTCTTCAGTAAGACAGAAAGATGAGGAAAATATTTTCTATCAATTATTCGAGTCTGCTGTTCGGAACGGAAAGCCGCCTCCCTGCTACGAGGCCTGGCTCCTGGCTGCGGTACTGTCCTGTCCCACATGGGCAGAGTTCTGTTCAGTTTCCCCTTGCTCACCACCAAAGACAAGTTCTTTGCCAACAGTTTGAGCATTCAGAACTTTGCTGCAATTGTGTGTGTCTCTCTTATCCTCCATCAAATCGGCATTGTGTCTCTTCCAGGTTGAGCCGCTAGTATTCTGTTTGCCTTCATCACTTTATACTTAAAGCAGAACATTCTGGGCTAACTTAATGAGCATGTGATTTATATCTGACAAACTGTCCAACCACTGCATGAGACAAGGGATTTTTCTCTACTGATTCAAAAATAACACTCTGGTTGAGTGTGGACACAGCATGACTTGCCCCTGGTGATG